TTAAATAAAAATAAAAAAGGAAGTGGCAGAAAATTAAAAATGGAAGTTAATTCCAGAAACCGAAGTTGCATAAAGTGGGAAGTTGTCCCCTCGGTTTATTGGTCCTTTTGAGATCCTTGAGAGAATTGGCGAGGTTGCTTATCGGTTAGCTTTACCGCCGCAGTTGTTCGGAGTTCATGACGTGTTTCATGTGAGTATGCTTCGGAAGTATGAGCCAGATCCATCACATGTATTGGATTGGACCGATTTAGAGTAGATGAAGATGCCTCGTATGAGGAGAGACCGGTCCGAGTCTTGGATAGGCGGGATCAAGTCTTGCGAGGTAAGACCATTCCTTTGGTAAAAGTTTTGTGGAAATATCACGGGGTGGAGGAAGCCACTTGGGAACGTGAGTTGGAAGTCCGCGAAAAATATCCGGACATGTTTATCGATTTGTAATTTTGTATTTAGATTTTGTCATATTGTTAAACTTTAGAGCTTTATATATGTCTTAAGCTGTAAAACATTGAGAATGTTTTGGTTAATGGAAATATGTTGGAACTTGTCTCGAAATGGAAGTTTAATGGAACATTGCATATGTTGAATATATTGAAAATTGTTGAAATTGCAAGAAAATTGCATAGTGTTAATGCAGATGAAAATATATGTTATTTTACATATTGTGAAATGCCTCTTGATAAGAGATGAAATGGCCGGTGTTGGGTCAGGTTGCTTATTTTGAGTTATCATATTGTTGGAATTTGAGAAAAACTTGTTTTCAAAATCTTATGCTTAATTTCGGGGACGAAATTCTTTTAAGGGGGGGAGGTTATAGCGATCCCGGTTTTTCCTTCCTTTGTATACTGTATTCTGGACTTGGTTCCGTGGACTTGTTTTTGTATCATTATCACTTCTAGCCTTTACTCTTTGTATTAGGGTCTTAGGTTGTGATGGGCAGGTTTGGAACAGGTTGGTTGCACTTTAAAACCAAAAGGGGATGCCCAGATTTTGGCCTTCACGCTCGAGCGGAAGTTTTAACCCTCGAGCGGGCTCTTCGTTGTTGCTTATACGCTCGAGCGGGAGTTTTGACGCTCGAGCGTGTTTTTCCATCTCCCAGTACTTTACTCTGCAGTCCCTCCGCTTGAGCGGAGAGTTTGGCGCTCGAGCGGGTACCATCGCCTGCAAAACTTCTGGAAGTGTGCAATCGACGCTTGAGCGGCTCTTTTCACGCTCGAGCGTGAGTCTGTGTCTGACGCTCGAGCGGGGATTTTCACGCTCGAGCGGGGATTTTCACGCTCGAGCGGGGAGTCGACTACATAAATTCGAGACCCGACTTTTTGGATCATTTTTCATCTCCCTTTTGATTCTAAAACCCTAGAACCGTCTTCTCCCTCTCCCTACACACCTTCTCTCTTAGGGTTGATCTACTTAGAGTGTAGTTCTACGCTAAGTTCTTTGTTAAAAAGATAGAGTGAGTCGAGGGCTTCCATTTAATCTGAATGTTTGGTGGTTTGGAGCACATTGGAATTTGGGTCTTCATCTCCGTCTTCCCCATTCGGGTTATTTTCTTCGAAGTAGGGATTTCCTACTCCATCTTATAAGTTTGGTTCTAAGTTTTGGTATTTTGATATGTTGGGGGTACTTTGATAATTTTGGAAAAAAACCCTAGTTGTATTAATAAATTAATTTGTATAAATAATTTAAGGGAATTGGGGAATTTGGTTTAATTCATGAAATTGAAGAATTCACTGATTAATTGGTATAGTTGGATAACTTAAATCACTCGCCTATTTAAATGTTGATATATTTATTTCCAGTCTAGAAATAACTGTTTTGGGCTATCGGTGGAGGATAGTCGTGATTGTTGTAGACATTGCATGTGGATTAGGAATAACTGAAACTAACCACATTGGTTAAGTCATTAATTTGAATCTGTTTTATATATCATGCATCGATTTGAAGTTGGTTTTGGAAAGAGAAAATGGCTTTCATGTGTTCTTGCAGAAAATCTCGTTTTGATCTGAAAGTTTGGAATAAGAATCATGCTTTTGTGTTTGCCGAGTGCTAGTTCGGGGAAAGGCAGTCAGAGAGACATGGGATGGACTCCATTAGCATCACTTTTATGTGTGCTTATTTATATTGAAGTGTTTTTATTGATACAGCACTAAAATGTGTATCAATCTGGAAGTATGAAGTGTTTTGAATTGAGCTTGAGTCTCATTTGTTTGTTGATATTGGGAGAATGTGAAGATGATATATATAATTCACTGTTGTAAGTTTGGCCAGGTTCTGAGCCATGTTGATAATAATGGAAAGTGAAATGTGTCTTAGACATTAGTGTCATGAGACTGTATAAAGTTATAATTGATTATCTTGGTTAACCATCTATTGAATGCTATAGCTTTATTCAATGCTTATATTTGGTTTAGTATTTTTCTACTGGGCTGTGGCTCACCTTTTATGGGAACATCATTTTCAGGTTCATGTGATAAGCTACCTCCAAGGACTTAGCTTGGGAGGATTTGGCTTTTGGATTTTGAAGACTAGCTTTAGTTAATTGTATGTAATTGGTAGTACATGTAAACATTCAAGCCTAGGGCTTTACTTGTATTTGAGTTAGAACTCATATTTTAGTGTCCAAGTGTTGGCTTGGAAAGATGTTAGCCTGTAGGGCATTTAATTTGATGTTACATGTAATGCTTTTATTTAGTAATACTCTAATGAATGAATTAATGAATTGTTTTCTTTAAATATTGCATGTCAATGATATATATATAATGGGTTTATTTTGGGGGCGTTACAGTTTCCTTAGAAAGAAGAAAAACAACTTAAGTCTTTGGGTATACACATACTGGTAATTGCACATTTGTAAAAAATGTTCTAGATACCATCATATACAAAGTCACATAGAGATATAATCCTAAAGTATAACTTGGGGTGGTTCAAAATTCCCATATTAGAATTGACTGCCATTTGCAAATTAGCACCATTACCTTCCATGAAGAACATTGACATTATCTTTTGTGGAATTCGGCCAGATATCCAGTTCAAATACTCTAACACCTCTCTACAATGCTTGTATGATCGGGACATCACTGCAGTCACTCCTTAGTTGATTTCCCTTTAGATACAAATTATGGCTCGTATATACAAAATAGTGAGATAAATGAGCTGTCATATCATGATGAATCTGAAATGTTTACAAATAAAAGACAAACAATAACTATTCAGTCTCAAAATGAAAATTAAATATAGAATACACAGTGATATAATGGCATCTCCAGCCCTTGACTGAAACCTATATCAAATTTAAATTTGGGTAAAAATCACTCAAAAACCTCTCTACTCATAGACTCAAACTTATTTTGAGTAAGAGAGATCGTAAAATGTTCTAGGACAAGGAGATGGTCTTGTTCACCTGCAGGACCAGACAACAAAATTCTTGGGCTTACAGCAGAATCCTTGGACTCACTATGCTTTATGTGTAGAACAAAGGATGCCAACAGATAATATTTTGTCATGCCACTGAAAGAAATGAAAAATTAAAATTTCCATTACTAGCTTGCAATAAAGTATTGAAACCCATGGAAAACCATAGCAACCCCTATAAATGAGACTAACATTGTCAAGTAAATGAGCTTAAATTAGAACTACAAAGTACAATTGTCGTTCAAACTGTTGCATAGGCAGAAAATGGAGCATGTAATCGTAACTAGAAAGCATGTAATCGTAACTGGAGAACATTTACGTTAAACAAGTTCTTAAAGATGAACAAGCACATTCAGTACACTATAAGGGTATAACGGCATCTCAACACTCCAAGAAAGTTTGCAATAGTCCCACATAGTGAAACCACTACATAGATCAAATGACTGAAGTAGCTTAACATCTGAAATAGCTTTATCAAGGAGCTACAGCAATGGGGAAAAATTAGGAAAACATATTCAGGTCAAGAAGTTGAGATTTAAAGCATATATGTATTCTATTCTCTCACAGATTTTGGTATTCCTTTTAATACTTCTATTTCAGGAAAGAAGAAACAATAAAAGATAAAAATTTCACAATTGGTACTAGTGAAGACGTGCTATATTATCATTGCCCTTTAAAATAGAAAAAAATTGCACAAAACAACATCGACTCCTTAAGTTGGTCTCTTAATATGAACTTATCATTGTTTGCATAATGAATGATCCTTGACTAATATCTTTCCATTTTCAAGCATATCTCCTACCTGCATAATCTAGATTGTTTTCCAATTTGTGAGGCATTTATCAACACATATGCATTCATTGGACTCTTCTTGTATGTTCAATGTGTACATGTAATATAATCGTATAGATAAAAGTTTATCTTTTCAAAATTATTGGGCTTCCCAAGAAGTCTGCATGATCTTTTATCAAATTCAGTGTGAAGTGATGAAAAGAAAAATGTTTCTCATCCAATCCAATGTCTACAAGCAAACTGATCAATTGAACTTTTTATCAATTTCAGTGTAAATGTGTGCTTCCATTTAGATCATTATATTACCTATCCTATAGAAGAAGGGAACAAGTCAACATCTTATATAAGAACTAGTTATCAAGTTCAAAAGTGCTGCGGAATATGCTAACATACTCAAAAGTTGAATTATGAAAAGAGATCTGTTGTGGATGTTAGAACATAGAATAAGTACATAAAATGATTGTACAAGAAAGATTACAGTTGTGTGGAAGGCTTCTACCATAAATAATACAGAAAATTGTCAAATGAGATCTGTAGTTGTCTACCATCAATAATAGGATTAAATAGGAAAATGCAAATAAATAAACAATGCTCAAATTCAAAGTGGATCCAACCAAATCAAATCAATTGGTTCATGCAATTAGAAGAATATAGAAGTACCTCTTAATTTGTGCAAGAGCAATTAATAAAACTTGTCTGGTTGAATAGAGTACAAAAGGAACTACAAACAAGCAAAATGATCTAATTTTTTTTGGTTAAATAGACAAAAAGTAATTAAAAAAGACAACCAAACAATTCCTACGTTAGGAAAGGCAAAAAGATAACATGGATAATTGTATACCTCAAGAACCATGATCACAAATTCTGAATGCTCCCACTAATGCTAGAAGATACCAAAGTACAAAATGTCTATCATGGGTGGGTTTGGGAAGATTCATTACTCATAAATTCTTGAGTCAATAAGCCAACTATAATGAAACATTACTTATTAGAGAACACATAAAAAGCTTTCTGACATGGACAACACAATAAAATGAATAATATATTAGCATGACATAATATTCATTCTACTTTGCGAAAAATTTATACACAACTGAGATTAGAAGAAAAATATAACCAGAAAGGCCATTCTTCCACATAAAATATACAACAAAATTAAAACTCTCCCCAACTTCAACAACCATGTACTTTCTTTAATTTAAAGGGAAAAAGAAAAAAAGAAAAGACAAAAACAGAGGAGCACTTTGTATCACATCCTTAAACCACATGCATTGTTCAGCAGAATTTTATGTTATACAAAATCTTTAACAGCAAAAATTAATTACTAAGACTCTCTGTTGTTTATTAAAATTTTGATCAATGAAAACCACTTAAAATTCCACTCCAGTAAACCATATAGTAATAAAAATAACAAAATGACTCTTAACAACATATATAGCCACAACTGAAGCTAATGGATCATACACAACTATAATTTTTGAAAACAAGAAAATCAGAATCAAGCAAAAACATATATAAAATCAAAACTGAAGCTTTTGAAAAAGTACCAAGGTGTGTTTACCTCCAAATAAAATGAACACAAGAAATAACAGAACTGAGATGACAAATCTCATCTTTGCAATGCCATTGTGACATTTTGTCGAGCACCTTGTAGACACAAAAAGTATATAGCATGATTCATCTTTGCTATACACAGAGAAACTATACAGATGAGAGAAAAAACAATCCAAAATCAGCAAATAAAGATCATTTTGAAACCCCTTTCAGAAAATAAAATCAGCAAATACAGATGACGAACCATTTTTGAAACGGTACAATGATAGAAACCATTCCAAAACCCTTTTCAGAAAATAAAGATCATTTCAGAAACCCATTTCAATCATAGAAGAAATTTAAAAATCAAACCATTTCAGAACTGAATTCAAAACTATTTCACTCATCAGATCAGAGAAGAACCAGCTTTCAGAAAAATAGAGAGAGAAATGAAAGTTTTCTTACCTGTGATAATGGTGGCCCAGAGCAAGAGCTACAAAACCTAAGTCCAAGACTTGGACTGCGGCTATTCTTCTCCTTCTCCCTCATTCTCACGGCTGCGGCTGTGTTAATAAGAACTTAGGTTTTTATTTATTTATGCATTTGTATTATTAACCCTAAAATAATTACTCTCCTTGCTTTATTATTATTATTATTATTATTAGCCTTGTGGACTTTCGTTATAAATTTATTTAAAGTTTAAGATTAATTAAATTACCTTCTAACAATATTTAATTTAGAGACGAAAGATTATTTTTTTCATTAAAAGGTACGTCTTTTGTGACAAAATTTATTTTCATCATTAGTTTTCATCTCTAAACACTACAAGAAAAAGGGGTATAAACACGGAAGCTTTTGCGACGGCGCGTTTTCCCGTCGCAAAAAATGAGCTTTTGCGACGGCAGATTAAACCGTCGCAAATGAGCGCTTTAGTAACGGCCTTTTACCGTCAGTAATAAAACTGCACGGGTAGTGTGAAAAAACGGAAGTATTAGCGACGGTGTTTTTTACCGTCGCTAATTTTTTTTTTTAAACGGCATGAGTTGGCTGTCGCAAATAGTGGACCATTTGCAACGGCAAAATGTCCATCGCCCAAAAAACTTATCAAAACAGCGTCGGTTTAGCTTAATAATTTATCATTTGCGACGGTGTAAAATGTACCGTCACAAAAAGTTTAAAAAAAATTGTCCCCCTCTTCCCCTTTCATCTTGGCGCTCGATGAAATCCCTAAATGTTCGAAATCCCCAAACGAGTGACGAACCGCGAACTTGGCATCTCTCTGGACGAGCGACGAACGATGAGCAGGCTAGCGGTGGTGCGGTGGTGCAGCGACGACTTTCTCACAGCGTATGCTCTCTCTCTCTCTCTCTCTCTCTCTGTATATATATATATGTATGTATTAGCTGTTCAAAAAAATATATACATGAATATAAATTATTTGCCCCACTCAACCAAGTAAACACCAGACAAGGAACAAAATTTTGTCTCATTTCCATTGAAATGGATGAAACATATCGGTTTTCTATGAAACTGAGACCAAACAATAGTGAAAAACCGAAACTGAGACCAAACAGATCTGTGTGTGTTTAAGAAAATATCTGTGAAATCAAACATTTCCATTCATTTACCTTTATTAAACCTTCTTTTTCATATCATTTAATAAATATCTGTGTGTGTTTGTTTTTTTATAGCAAAATAGGTATGTTAACTTTAGTGTTGGACTGTGTGGGCCATTTGTCTTTTTCTCATGAAAAAAAATTTTGATCAGACAAATAGTAACCTCAAAAATTTTATGCTTTGACTAAAAGTTTCATTTCTTATGAAGCACTTTAGTAAATAATTCAAAATTTTACCTGAGTTTTTTTAAAAAAAGGTTTGGTATAGGTTTGAGTTTGCTAAAAGGATCTCTTGATTTTGGGTAATAAAAAAAAAAAGAGTAGAATTTAATTTTGAATAGGTTTGAGTTAAAGAGCATAAATGAGTTTTGAGTATTTTTTAGTCAAACTTAAATTTGTGTCAAAATTTGTGAGTATAGATTGGAGTTATTTTTAGTGTGTGTTTGAATCTTATATTTATAAATTCATTTGTGGTGAAAGAAAAAGAATTTTATAGTGGATGGAGAGTTTAATAATTTTTATGTAAGTAGAGGAAAAGGTCCTTTGAACATCTTTTATTTTTATTTTAATTGTCTAAAAGCAAATACATGTTTAATTACAATTGTGGAATCTCCATTTAAGTGCAGTATCATTTGCAGAGGTATAAAAGCTTTGAATACATCAACTTCATTTCAAATTAAACTAAAAATTAAAATTAAAATAGTGGAGTAGTCTAAATAAATAAATAAATAAATAAACATTTTTTTGTCTCACGTGTTGTTGTATAAGTATTTCATTTTTTATGTTCTCCCATCAAATCGGGAAATAACTAACTGGGATAAGACCACCTACCTATTTGAGAGAAATTGGACGGATAGGTATCATGGTACATGAATACGGTATTATATTTAGAGTTACTTTGATGAGATATTTTTGTGGATGTGTACAGATGATGGATAAGAGTTGGATTGATTTGCCAAATGGGATGTCGAGCGAATACATTAATGGGATTGATGAATTCATTGTGTTTGCCTACACCAATAGGGTTGAAGGTTTGATGATCAGTTGTCCGTGTAGGAAGTGTGAGAATCGATACCATCTTGTACGAGAGGGTGTACGGGAGCATCTGATTTTGAATGGTTTTTTAAAAGAATACAAACATTGGATTAATCATGGGGAATCTTACATATCTCTGCATGGTAATCGAGAGAATGAAACGTTGGCTAATTTAGACATTGGGGATGATATGATTGGAATGATACAAGGGGCTATGGGAAATCCACATGCTGGTACAAGTGTTGAGGGTAATGAACCACAGGGGCCTGATCCCCATGTATCTGAACCCCAGCTCGGTCCAAATGCAGAGACTGCAAAATATTTCAAACTTCTTCAATATGCACAAAGTGAATTGTATCCGGGTTGTCAGAAGTGCACATCTTTGTCATTCATTGTTCGACCTCTACATTTGAAGGTGCTTAATCAGTGGACAGACAAGTCTGTTGACATGTTGCTTGAGTTATTGAACGAGGCGTTCCCGTTGGGTGTGAAACTTCCGGACTCATATTATAAAGCTTAAAAGGTCACAATAGATTTGGGCTTCACGTATGAGACGTGGGATGCATGTCCCAACAGTTGCATGTTGTTTCGAAACGAGGACACTAACCTTGATAAATGTGTCATATGCAACAGTTCAAGATGAAAATCAAATGGTGATGGCGGTTCAAATGGTCCTCACAACGGTGGCAAACAAATAGCTGCAAAACAAATGAGGTATTTCCCTTTAAAGCCAAGGTTGCAGAGGTTGTTTATGTCATCCAAGGCGGCTAAGGTAATGAGATGGCATGCAGAGGAACGAACTAATGACGGTGTCTTTAGGCATCCTGCAGACTCCATTGCATGGAAAGATTTTGATCGTCGGAATATTGACTTGAGTAATGATTGCCGAAGTGTAAGGCTTGGCTTAGCATCTGATGGTTTTAACCCATTCAGGACGATGAACATAGTTCATAGCACTTGGCCTGTTGTACTCATTCCATACAACTTGCCGCCATGGATGTGCATGAAACAACCATTTCTAATTTTGTCTGTGCTTATTGACAGCCCGAAAGGACCTGGTGGCAAGATTGATGTGTATATGCAACCGTTGATTGAGGAGTTGAAAGAACTATGGAATGACGGTGTCTCCATATTTGATGCATCAACAAATCAAATGTTTCAAATGCGTACAGCTTTACTGTGGACAATTAGTGATTTTTCTGCATATGCAAACTTGTCAGGATGGAGCACTAAAGGCGAATATGCATGTCCTTGTTGCAATAAGGAAACTACATCGTGTTGGTTGAAGCATAGTAGGAAACAATCATACTTGGGTCATCGCAGATTTTTACCTACTGGCCATAAATTTCGGAAGGATAAAGTATCATATGACGGTAGTCGGGAAGTCTTACTCAAACCAAAATTGTTGTCTGGAATTGAGATGTTGCTACAATTAGAATCTGAGGGTATTTTAACCCAATACAAGAGGGATGACCTTAAGGAGAGGCATAGGAGACAAGTAGAGAAGGAGAAAGCTGGACATCGCACCCATAGCTGGAAGAAAAAGAGTATCTTCTATGAACTGCCATATTGGGTGCACAATCTAATTAGACACAACCTCGATGTGATACATATAGAGAAGAATGTTTGTGACAATGTGTTGTGGACAGTATTAGGGGTTGCAGGAAAATTGAAGGATGTTGTTAATGCTCGGCGTGATTTACAAGAAATGAATATTAGAAAACTCCTACATTTGCAGTTAAGAGGGTCGAATGATTTACAAGAAATGATTTACAAGCTTATTTACCACCGGCACAATTCATGATGACCAAGGATGAGAAAGATTTGTTCTTGAAAGTATTGAAGGAAGTTAGAGTTCCCGACGGGTATTCATCCAATATATCGTGTCGCGTGCGCTTATATGATAGAAGTATTGGGGGTCTTAAGAGCCACGATAGTCATATTCTGATGCAACAACTAATTCCATTGGCCATCCGAAGATCGTTACCGAAGAATGTAATTGAACCTTTGATTGAATTGAGCAATTTCTTTAGACAATTGTGTTCCAAAGTGAATTGTGCGACAGATTTGCAATATATTCAAGATCGTATCGTCGTAACACTTTGTCATCTAGAGAAAATATTTCCTCCTACTTTTTTTGATATAATGAAGCACTTGCCTATACATCTAGCTGACGAAGCATTATTGGGTGGAGCGATTCAGTTTCGATGGATGTATCCAATTGAGAGGTATCTTCTTACTTTGAAGCAATATGTGCGTAAAAGAGCTCATCCAGAAGGTTCAATTGCTAAAGGATATCTTATGGAAGAATGCATGAATTTTTGTTCACAATATCTCAATGATGTGGAAACTAAATCGAATCGACCCGTGAAGAACTACAGCGGTGATGATAATATGGGTCGTGCTGTTGGTGAAATCACAAGCTTTTATCTTGATAACACTTCTTGGGCACAAACTCATCGGTATGTCTTACTCAATACATCCGCGGTTTAGCCATTCATAAAGTAAGTTATGTCACTCACTCGATATTTTATTATGTTTCATTGAATTTTGAACCAAATTTTGTTTTTTGATAAAATTTCAATCTACACAGCAAACACCTTGAAGAACTTAAGGTCAAAATGCCTCGTGTTGACGATCATCAGCTTCGACGTGAACATTTTGAAACTTTTCACATTTGTTTCAAGGAACATGTATGTATTTAAATCAACAGATTCTATTTACCTAAGTCAAACTACATTTGAAATTTTACAATTTTTATTTTTTAAAATAGGTTCAAACTTTGCGAAGGACTAGTGATGTCACATTTTCTGAAGAGATTACTGTATTGGCAAATAGTCCTCATAACCTGGCAAGGGGGTTCAATGGGTATATAATGAATGGGTTTCGGTATTGAGTAAAGGCCATGGATGACCGTCGAGCCACACAAAATCGTGGT